ACGGGCCGTATGTAACCGAATACTGCAAATGAGCCCAAGAATCAATGGGCCCTGAGAAGGCCGAAAGATAACTTGGGCTGGAAACGACCCAATGGAATAACGGGCCGTTAATGGGTATAAAGTTATACACTATTCATTACGGGCCAGTTTCACCACGGGCCGTTAATGGGCCAAGAGTTACAAAGGGCCTCATATGGGCCGAAAGAAGTCATGGGCCACACATGGGCCGGAAGTTAAAACGGGTTGGCATCATATTGGACGGCCCAGATGACGCTAGTGGGCCTAATTTGGAGAGGTCGTAACGGGCCCTGGGTTAGCGGGCTGTAAATGGGCTATATGCGAACAGGCCGTTAACAGGCTTTCCGTGGGCCGGCCCGCCACCTTTTGACCAAGTCAAACGGGCCGGTCTTTTCATAGAAATGGGCCTCCGTTGGGCCGTGTCACGTGTCGCAGTATCATAGGCGCCTTCGATCAAATGAGTGGATGACATCTGTCCCAACGGTGAGCCGACACGTGTTTCCTCCAGCCAATGATGATTTTACACGTGGAAAATCCCCATTGGTCGGGGCTGTTAACGGGTTATCGGATCCAAAACCGGACCCGATAGCTTAACGGCGTTCCGTTACGATGGATGCCACGTGTTGGTCACCCTTAACTAAAGCACTTCTGTGACGCGCAGTTTATCGTCATGGAAGTGGACACTTCCATAATGATAATTTTGGTAATGTCATGGAACACTTCTACGACAACACAGGTATGACTATCTTGATTGTGTCATAAAATCGTCATGAATGTACATGCATGACAAAAAACGCGACCTACTGTGACAAACACGTATCATCACGGAAGTGTTCTTTTTGTAGTGCGGACGCCGACAATCATTTAGATTAGCCCACCTAGGACCGCTTTCATGTATTTGTAATGAAATCCGTCATGTTTATATGAAATCCATCATATTTATATAATCAGGTCGTATTTATATGAAACCCGCACTTGTTTGCACGAATTTCGTCTGGTTGGTTTGAGTTGTTGTGAAAATGTATCCAGCTAGAGTTGGATGGCTGCCTCCCGTATCCATGTCCACAGACTGGTCCCCCCTATCAGCGGACGGATGCGAGAGGTTTTTTTGGGTTGCCGTTGGAGATGCCCTAACCCCTCCGCTGAAGGAGCATCGAGCACATGAACAATAAGAAAGTTCTCCCTGACATCGCTTCTCCTTGATGATTACGAAGAATAGCGGTTGTAGCTCCCCTTCCATCGTCCATATAGCACGCATCAACAACCATAGATGAGTTAGATGTTACCCAATGTCATCAATCACCTTAGATTAGTTAGCTGTTATTGCATGTATCACCAATGCAGTTCTTGGCGGGCTAGAGATCCCACTTCCCTTAACAACTTCTCTCTTTTGCCGCTAGATATACCATGAACCCACAATGATAGAATCTTGTAGAGTCAGATGTTGAACACTTGGTGACTGCCGACGTTGATCCCAAAGTAAATTTTCAAAAACGATGCTGCCAGATCTATCAGAATCAAGTGCTTGATCAATTACCTCCTTTTGCCCCAGAACTCTCCAAACTTCTCTAGCTATTGTGCATGTGAACATTAGATGGCGGACCGTGGATATCCTCTGCCCCCTCTGACAAACGTGGCACTGTCTAGAAATAGGAATATGTCGATTTGCTAGCACTGGCAAGCCTAGGATGATTCCATGTAGAGCCTTCCAACCAAATATTTTGATTTTACTAGGAACACTGAGTTTCCATAGGTTTTTTCCAAGCCGGAATAGTAGTGGAAGGACCGCCATCTGATCTTTTGAGACGCCCAACAAAGTGATGCATCCATTCATTGTAGTATGTTGATCGAACCGAAAATTTGTAATATTTTGTTTTCTGCAAAGCAACAAAGCCATCGGTCAAGTTTGTACTTAGAGTTATTCCCATAATCCTTTCAACATCCATGGGAATAAAATAATCTCCAATTATTTACTCATCACAGTATCCTGTTGATGGGTTTATAAGATCTTCAACCGTATTCTTGGGCTTGGTCTATTCTACATTTCGGCCGACTAGTAATTGAACTTAAGAACCGCTCAAAACAATGTAATTGAAATTAGGACAATTAAGTATGCAATATTAGTATTAGGACTTTTGTTTCACATTTATAATTGGATTGTTTTTTTTTCTTTTGGGTCATCCACTTGATTGCTCTAGTTTCCATCACTTTTTCTTGATGGATTGAATGCAGTAGAAAGGTAGACATGAAGGGGATGAATTGTGCAATCTTATTTAGTGCTCGCAGTGTAGATTTATCTATACCTACTAATAAAGAAAATAGGTATTTTTTGTTCCATCATGCTATTTTGCAGGAAACCCCTTGATGTTTCTAATAATAAACTCGAAGTCTAGTTCTAAGTCAGATTTTTGTTTTTATAGAACCCCCCTAATATTCTCATCATCAACCCGCGGGACAAATTTAAGTACGATTTTCATTTTTGCAGGAAACCCCTCTAATGTTTGGGTTAATCAACCCGTAGTACATATATTTTAAACACTAACTCCAAATTTAACATGTTATATGTGAAATTTAATTAAAAATGTGTAGAATATGAATATGATGTCATTTTATCTGTTAGCCATTGGAAAAAAATGGGAGACGAAATAAACACCTGAATAAATTTTGAATATAACTGTTAAGGATAGGATATAAGAAATGAATTTGAATTTTATTAGGGTGCAAGCTTAATCAATGGTGCATGATCCGTCTTTTTTTTATATTGGTGCCTATCCGGATTGGAAATGAACACAGGAGCAAAACCAAGATTGGAGACGAAATAAACCATCTATAAACACATGCAAGCCTTGCCAAAACCTCAAAGAAAAAAAAGATTTCACATCTTACGCCGAGAGAGAGACGCCTTATAATTGACAACATTGGAACATTTTGTGATTGTATGGGCACTAAGGCCACCATTGGCGAGGATGGGAAGGATGATAGATGGCAACACGGATGGGATGCCATGTGTTAAAATAAAGGGACTCTTTTGCTAGTACAATAGATAAGCACACAACGATGCGAAGAGAAATGTTATCCCCACTCCAACCAAGATAGAACTTCTACCAAAAGTTTATTGTGATATTTTTGTTCAAATAACAATTAAGGTGAAGCAGGGTCAGGAACAATGAATCTCTTTATAATAAACAGATCCATTTTGCAAGTTCGTTATTAGGGGTAGTTCCTACAAAGAATTAGACTAATGATGTATACAATGCTTGAATTGTCGATGTAGATGCTACATAGTGGGTTCTCATCCTTCAGAGGCAAAGATTGAATCACTTAGCCAACATCCAGAAGCTATTGGCACTTTGTTGAATCGAAATAAAGAATACCACAATGGGACCAGATGACATGTTCCAACAAATTCCATGGTTAAATAAAAAGTGACTGATCAAAAATAAATATTCAAATATCCCGGTCTTTTGTTTGTGATAATACGTGCCTCTCATTCATATCATAAAGATCATAGTAGAAGTCAAATAGACACCAACCTCAGAAAACCGAAAAGACAACAAATGCTAGACTTTGCACAAAGGACTACTAACCAAGTAGGAAAATTACAATCATGATAAAAATATCTTGTGAGCTTGACATCAACTCCCGTAACTTTCCCCCTGCACCACCATACAACAACCACCAAAGAAAAAAAAATGACGGATCACCTTCTTATCCATTGACGCGGCTTCATCACATATATGCAGTTTTGCGGATCTCCAAGGTGGCTCACCAAAGGTGAAGCCCCTGCCGTCGAACAAATCAGACATGTGTAGCACCTCAGACTCGATATCAAACTCCAGATCTGACACCTATGCATGACTAAGACGTTGTAGGAGGAAATCATACCTGCCAGTCACCAATCACAAATCCAGCATATGATCCGTCTTACAAATATCGTTCATGCAGACCACTATTTGCATCCGCTCCTCCACTACCTCCCAAGCTCCGCGTTGGTGCTGAAACATACGCCCTCACAATGGTGAAGCCCGAGGACAAAAGTTTGACACAAGTATGCCACCACCACCATGACACCCCCGCTTGAACAAGTTAGTTCCCAAATTCTCACCGACCATAGAGTTGATTGCCTCGTCAGGTGAGGAATTGAAGCTTCTTTATTCAGTGTCGTCGTTGCCGCCGCTGAAGCAAAGACGTCGAACGATCCAAAACCTAAGCTACTAAGGCTCTAGAAACTAAAGCTACTGATCTGCATGTGCATGTGCGGGATCCAGCTACCCCCTCACCTCAGTCGTCGGTGAAGGGTAGTCACCGAAGGACGGCGCCGGAAGGCATTCCTGGTTGTAGCTAGGGTTCTAGTCCGTACACACGAGAGGAAAAACTGTTTAGGCTTAATTTTTTAGTCACCTGACCATCAGTCAGTCATCTAGCATTGCATACAGTGGCACAGTTCTTTTGGCTGCTTCTTCCAGAATCTTAAGAATCAATCCTTCACACAGCTTCTCCCAGAATCTTGTACTCATATTTTTTTTTACAATCCTAGCTGTTCACATCCTAACTAGTTAGGATTGTAAAAAAAATGGGTACAAAATTCTGAGAGAAGCTATGTGGAAGGTCGATTCTCAAGATTATGGAAGAATCAGCCAAAAGAACCGGGGCAGTATGTTTGATCAAATGAAAATAAACCCTTTTTTTTGTGGCAACGGAAAACAAAAACCCGAGTTTTTTTTCCTCCGTGAAGAGAGAGGCGAAGGCCGAGCAGGCAGGGTACTTTGCTTTATGATCGTAGCTGGGCCGAGAAAAAAAGCCCATCGGATCCGATCTCTCGGCCTCGGGGGTATTGCTCCCTTTCCCAACTTCGCAACCCAAACCCAAGCCGATCGTCGTCCAAGGTTCCTTCTCGCGTACACCAAACCAGAAAGAGAGCGGCGGCGGCGGCGGCGGCGGCGGCGGCGAGGGCGACTGCCATCTGGGCTACAAAGAGGGTGATGCATTCGTCGGGTGGCGAGATGGAGGCGGTGGAGAAGGCGATGCGTGACAAGCGGATGGAGGAGAGGGAGAAACGTGAGGCGGTGATGGAGGAGCGGATGGCAAAGAAGGAGAAGGAGGAGGAGGCGGAGAAGGCAAAGAAAGCGGCGATGATAAAGGCCGCGAAGGAATTTGTTGAAGCGACAGGGAGGAAGATCTTAGAGAAAAGGGGGGGACCACAGGATCCCTGGGATCAGTTTCGTGGATTCTGGACGAGTGTTTGGGGCGAAGGCGGCTATTTTGGTAAATTTGAGGATGAGAGTGAGTAGCGTAACCTCTGCCTACACGCGCTTTGGTTTCATTTACAGTATTATTTTCCTCCCCATCCGTCCTACTGACATTGTGACATGTCATTGATGCAGCTACTATCCCCTCCATGCGCTTCACCTTCTCTGGCGATGGCTCAACCAAGAACACGCTGCAGTTCTTTTCAGTCAAAGTTGCAGAAATTGACCAGAGTTTACAGTGGCCGCTGGATGTGTATGGGTTCTTTTCCGTACGTGATGTGGTGGATCACAAACGCAACATGATCTTCTCCTGCGACAGGGATAACTGCCAGACCATCAGCCAAGAGGTTCGTCACTATTGGTATCTGTCTCAAAATCATTCTTTTTCAGGCGCCATATTAGTAAGAATGTAACACATTGATCCTTAGTACAATGGTTATAAGTACTTAAAGTTATGACAATCATAGATGCTTCTAAAAAAATGTAACGATCCAATGTGAAGGCTTTGTTGTTCATATAAGAATAAATATGCAAGTTTGGTGGTAATTTCTTGTTTGTGCGAAATTTCAATGCCAGATGCTTATGGGCTATGGCATCTCTTCATGAAGGAAAAAAGAGCTTCCAAGATATAAGCAAAGGAGCTCATGTCACATGAAAGCCTCCAAGCCAGCCAAACTTTAATTTTTTCGAAATTTATTCAATTCACCACCGCCACTACAAATTGTTTTGTATTTTCACTGGCCAAAATGTCTTGTTAGAACAATTAATAGTTTATCAATATTAATAATTTATTTTGAACTTATCAAATTGTTTTAAAAGTGCATGTAGAGAAAATGCTGCCCTTATGTAATGGTTCATGCAAGTGTTGGTTTTTTATCTTTGTAATTTTCAAGGAGCGTTTGGGAGGTGTATAATCATGTTTTTTTATCCATATAAATGGCTCTAGACTGGAATGCAACGGACAATCTCATAATTAGTTGAAATTAAAGCTCTTCAAGTTTTGATTGTGATCAACCGGATGTTGTCCTTTTTAGGGCTTTATTGAACGCCTTGTGATGGGAATTAGGCCTAAACTTGGGGTCATATTACGTCACTTTGTGCTTATCATGAAGTGCATATGCAAGTGGTGAGTGCTGATAAGATTTGTTATCCTGCAGCACTCCCTCATCAATAGTAGAGCAGGCATTTTGTTAATGCACAAGTTTGAATTTGAGTATGATTCCGTGCATCAAATTAGTGCATGTTTTCAGGTATATAGAAGTCATATGGAAGAGCGCCTGTAACATTTAACCAACTCTTGATTATTGCGTTGAGAACTCCACAACCCTAACTTGTGCTCCCAACTCCCGCACTACGTAGTCCATTGTCTGTCTGTCCCTCAGTTCTGTTTGGGACCAGCGTTCTCTTTGTTTATGTAAGTAGTATCTTGTGTTCTCCTTTGAAAGTTTGCTTGAAAGATCTTCTGGCGCAATATGCAAGGAATTAGCAAACAAATAATTTTGAACAAGACATGCTTAGTGTGGATATACGTGCAACTGAACAAATATACTATTATTTGTCTGCCGGACACTTGAGCATTAAGCTAATATTTTTGTCCCGTCATTACTGTAATGTACCTCACAATCTTTATACAAACAACAACAACAACAAAGCCTTTAGTCCCAAACAAGTTGGGGTAGGCTAGAGGTGAAACCCGTAAGATCTCGCAACCAACTCATGGCTCTGGCACATGGATAGCAAGCTTCCACGCACCCCTGTCCATAGCTCGCTCTTTGTCGATACTCCAATCCTTCAGGTCTCTCTTAACGGACTCCTCCCATGTCAAATTCGGTCGACCCCGCCCTCTCTTGACATTCTCCGCACGCTTTAGCCGTCCGCTATGCACTGGAGCTTCTGGAGGCCTGCGCTGAATGTGCCCAAACCATCTCAGACGATGTTGGACAAGCTTCTCCTCAATTGGTGCTACCCCAACTCTAGCTCGTATATCATCATTCCGGACTCGATCCTTCCTCGTGTGGCCACACATCCATCTCAACGTACCTCACAATCTTTATGCTATGCATTTTTAATAAAGTGCACGATTTTATGAACTTTTTTTCATTATGCTGCTCAATGTTTACTTTGGCATTTTGGACTGACTTTTTGTTTAGACTGGTTTCTTTAGTCTGAAGGGCTTCCAAGGTATAAAGCTGCTAACTGGCCAAACTGTGATTGTAGGCTCTTGCTTCTTACATATGCTGATAATTGTAACCTTCCTCACATTTATCTCTTTCGGATTTCTAACACATGTCACATTGTCACCATAATTATGTTCCACCTGTCTTTTTACCAACAGAGACCATAATAGTTTGGTTATGTTTCTTATTAATTACTGGTGAACTTTACATATTAATTAATTAATTGTGTGATGCAGGATCCATATCTAACGCTGACAGGTCCAACCCGTGCTGTTGTGGTGTCATCAGATCCTTCGTACTTTGAGATTGAGCTGAAAGTGAAGGGCACTGCTGAATCTGAGGATAAATATTTAAGCCGCCTAGTTATGACATACAGGACAGGTTTTGTGGATAGAAGTTTCACTAGTGAGCTTAGCACTCTGGAGATGGCATTCGAAGAGATCATCCGATCTGTGGAGGCCACAATCAGTGTAAAAGTCGTTGGTGGATCATGGCCAGATGGTTTCCGTGGTGTATTTTGTGCGAGCATCGATGACATAGCTGGCTGGAAAGTCAAGTTGCTGGAATGTGGAGATGATAGATTGCCTCTTGATGCTGATGGCAACATCAAGCTTAGATGCAAGGTCGTTTCTGTTGGACTTGAGGGATTGCTGAGGATTTCTGTCATGGCACACTGTATTAATGGGGATCAGGTTGTGGAGAGTCATTGCAGAGAAGATGTTAAGAGTCATGAAGTAGTGTTTGAACCCAGGAGATCGGGTACAAGCTCCAGTACTGAGCTTAAAATTGGCTCTTGCAGAATGGAAGTTACTGTGAACTGGTCCCTTTTCTCTTATCAGCTGTAACTTAACTGGCCCATCCTTTAAGCAACAGCTGTCGTATTTTAAGTGCTATTTTGTGCCACACTAAACAAAGTATGTATTTCTTATTGCTGCCTGTATGAGTAAAGTTAGATTTTCATCGGTGCTGTGTTGGCTTAATTCTAACAGTATCTATGTATGCTAGCAGAGTTCAACTTATCTTACAGAAACCCTGCCACATTTACTGCTACAATCGTAACATGGGCGTATATACTATTCCCTCTGTCTCAAAATGCGAGACATTTTTTGACACTATTAAAAAACATCTTCATTTTGAGATAGAGTATTATCTATAAGGTTTCATCATTCTCCTATCCTTCATTATATGATTGCAATATGGAGAACCAAACAGAGATGAAAAGCTGGGAGTTCCCTTGCTTTTACTGTCTTTGGTCTTGAGGCTTACAATTTGGAGATCACTTTTGTTGAAAAAGGGATATGCTGGAATTGAACTGGGAGCTTAGACAATCTGGGCGGCCTGCTAGGTCATTACCCGGACAACAAATTGCCACCAACCAGACTGTGCATAGCTAGACTGAGAATGCTATCAAACACACCTTAAGCGGCTGTTACATGCATACGGCACTCCAAAACATGATGTCCAAGTTTGCCCGATGACTTCACGTTCACCGTGAGCATCTTCTCGCCGCTGCCCGTCCTGGTCTCCTCCACCGTGGGGAGTTCCTCCGGCACAAATCCGATCATTCATTGGGAAAGAAACACATGATGATGTTGACAGAAATCAAGCAGATAATTCTAAAAAAATAAATAAAAAAATCAAACAGACAAAACAAGTCTGAATACGAGTTCAACATAACTGAGAAATAGCCGGCGTGCACAGCCATCCCTGAGCACGGCCTAGCTACCAAGTCTTAATAGGAGTACAACATAGCTGACAAATAGAGCATACAGCCGGCGTGCACAGCCATCCCTGCGCACGGCCGAGCTGTCAAATTGTCCTAAACACACTTACATGTGGCCGGCATGCACAGCCACCAAATCCAAATCGACATAAACAGTAGTACTATAGGGTTAAGCCCAATAAGAGATAGAGACCAAGTAGCCATCCATTCATCCCTGCGCACGACGGGGCCGGAGTGCCTGCTCACCAATTGTCCGGGGGATAATCTTGGTCCAGCGGTATGAAGCCCGGTTCAAGAACAGGCATTCCATAGGCCGGGGTTCGCTGATGCACCGGCGGGATCAGATGAGATTTCTCGATCCTCTTGAGAACACTGAGTCCATTTATCATATCCAGGAAGCTGTTGATATGGTAGATTCGGTCGTAATCCTTCATCTTGTCTCTGGTTCTTAGCAAGCCACCATTGAGGCCTGCTTCTAAGGCAACTTCACACATGACGCCCCAGCTGCCAATGCGCTTCCAGACTCTCTCTCTAGGCAGGTCTGCAATGTCCAGGGGACTTGAATCCTCTCCATATTGGATCCTCCTTACTAGCTCATCAAAAACATACTGGAATCGTAGTGCTTCGCAAATAAGCGTGAAAGCTTTTTCAACCGCCAGCTTCAGATTTGTGCTTCTCACATCATTCGGGTGCCACGTCCAAATTGTGTCGAAGATGAACTCTAGAGTTTCGCGACCACCCATGTCAACGCTGTATCATACAGTACTAGTAACCTCAGAACACAAGAGATAAAATCAATATGAAATGTTAAACTAAATGGGTTGGGGATTCAAAATTGTTATGGATTTCAAACAGGAAACGTGAGAGTTTAAAACTATACGACATTTCAATCAATTGCCAAAATTTAAACTATCTCCAGACTAGTAGGTCATTTGTATCATATGTTTGGCATCCAAAAGTATTCCTGAAATGCTACTAGTACTTTCATACACGAGTACAACATGAAACAGCGATGAACTAAACAAAACATGTATTGAAAAAGGGGAGGAAACATACCTGTGCTCATGTCCCCCATCAAACCTATAATTTACAACTTGGCCCATGTCGAATGACGGCCACCCCAGAGAAGGTGTAAAACGGTACCAAGGCGACCACTCGCCATCCAGCTGCCTTGTAAATCCCAGTAGATAGAGGTCAAAGTCCCTTATCAGGAATTCCACTCTCGCATAATCATTGGTGCTTGAAAAGAACACGACACGGAAGTAGCTATGACCGTTAGTAGGATGGTTCGCTGCATTTGGGTATGGGGTAATTGGCTTTCCGTAATACTCCCTCCGTCCGGAAATACTTGTCATCAAAATGGATGAAAATGGATGTATCTAGAACTAAAATACATCTAGATACATCTATTTCAATGACAAGTATTTCCGGACGGAGGGAGTAGGTTGCAGGGCAGATCTTTGTTAACCGGCGGATGATTATTCGCACGAAATTCTCATAGCGCTGGGCCAGGTCGTCTTCTTCTCCATGCGGTGGACGTCCGATGTCAAGGTGGATGACAGGAACGTTCTGGCCATGACAGAATTAGAAAACAACATGAGATGTGCAAGTCTATTATGATTAGAACACATTTTCAATCCGATATTAAATTCAGTGAAAAGCGAATCAAAGTTGCAGCAGAGTGCTGCTATGCACACGATACTCTTGGACGGTTCTTGGACGATAATGCAAATCAGACCATCTATATAAAGGACTAGGTGCAACACAGCCAGTGGATTAAACATATCGTCTCTGAATCGTCCAGCAGTATCGTCTGTGAAGTAGTTTCGGTTGCAGCAGGTGCACAGAGTCGTGGGCTGAGCTCGCTCGCTGAGCATGCGTGCGCTGGTCCGAGAAGAGCACCCTAGCCAGGCCTTCAGCTCAATCACCAAGGGCGTCATCTTTCGCGGACGAGTTCATCGCGTTGTGTTAACTCTTGCGCGCTCGACTTGGCGTGGCCCACGCGGCGTGGGTCGGTGGGTTGACTCGCACGACTTGAATCGCCGAGTACGAGTACGAGGTCGCCAACATGCTCGCATTCCTCGACGACAAGGTGGTCTCGACTCCGACTGGTTCGCCGGCCGTAGAGAAGAACTGCGACCGGCAAGCTCAGGAGGCGACGAGATGCACAACGGCCTCAGATCCGTGTGCGCAGGAGCCCATCAGATGCGAGGTGCATGGCAAACGAGAAGTTCCACCGCCTCTACGTGACCACGCCGACGTACATCAGATGTTTCATGCGAGGTGCATGGCAAACGAGGTGCGTGGCCCCACAACCATCGCTTTTCGCTTGCACGGTCTACGTGACCACGCCGACGCGGTTTGTGCCGGAGGAGGAGGCTGTGCTGGACATCCTCGTCGGCTGCCTCTAGCACGAGCTACAACTACCACGCCAAGCGCTAGTTCTAAAATGCTGGCTGGGATGCTCACTACAGGAAAATTCCGTTTTCCCGTGTGTTAGGCTATAAGCCGAAAGCTATATTTCGAGTACTCGGCTTATATGCATCTAAGCCGTGTCTAGGCAAAAAAAGCTCCCGGCAAATGCGAAGGACTCGGCTTATAGCCATCTATAAGCCGAGTGTAGAAAAAAGCCCTCGGTTTATAGTGAGCACACGGTATCTACAGGAAAAAGCACTCGGCTTCCAGCTGGCACTCAGCAAAGACATCTGCCACGTGTCTACAACGGAGGTAGCTGACGGCGCCGTCACAGAGCATCCTATAAGCTGTGTGCCGCGGGATAGCACTCGGCTTATACAGTATGTAAGCCGTGTGCCCTGAGATAACACTCGGCTTATACAGTACGTAAGCCGTGTGCCGTATGATAGCACTCGGCTTATATGTTGGCAACCCATAAAATTTATGGAAAATTGGTTTAAAATGATCATTGCATTTATCTTAACTATTTATTGTTATTTCTTTCTCACCCAATTTCTCCCGACTAGTTTTATGGGTCTTATTTTTGAAACTCCCAATTTAACGCCGCTTTATGATCACATGCAAAAGTAACTAGTGTACTCTCCTGACCCCCTAGGTTACCCATATTATGATCACATGCAAAAGTCACTACTGAAAATTCACTCTACACCCAATGATTGGCTCTTTGCTGGGAGCCAAAACACGGTCGGGCACTCGGCAACCCGAAGTAGGTGGCTGGGCCTGCCTCACCCTCGTCCGCACAAGGCCTACGCATGTCACAAGGAGATCACATAGGATTTCTCATGCCGCTTCTGGGCATGATTTCATCTGTCACCTTGCATATCTGCAATTTCTGACGCAGAAACCATAGCAGTGCAATAAATGTCTCAAATATTACAGGCGGGTCCGAAAAATGTGGGGGCCTGGCACGTGTCATTCGAAGGCCTCCTTTGAGAGCATAAGAACTTCTAGGCCAACAGAGCAACATGACCCGCACTGCCTTCACAAACCCGACACGTTTGTTGACTAGTCATGCTTAAAGATCATGAATCTTACCATCTTACCTTCTCGTGCTTGAAGTGTTCTCAGTCAGGACAAGCAAGCCCAGTGACTCCCACTACGGCTCATGGCGCTTCGACCTCCTTGCAACAATGATCACTCGAGGTAGTTGTCTATGTTTGTGCATTGTTGATGCTTGCGTCTTGTCTTTGTGCTTCTCAACTTACAACTTGTGCATTGTTGATAGTAGAGCCCACAAGTGTTGATGCTTATATTGTTCATACTTCTTAGCTTCAATTTGAACCTTATATGTTGATGCTTGTTGACTCTTGTGCCTTATCAATCATTTGAAACTTAACTTTGAAAACTCATGCGTTTGATAATGGACTTATAGGTTTGCATCGTGGATGCCGTTGACGGTGGGCACACATGCTACGGTGGAGCACATTGCATGTTTGAGGTTCATGCTTGGTGTGAACTTGGAACTCATGCTTTTGTTTGTGAACCTTGTTGGATATGTACCTGTGTGGACTTTGGACTCATGGTCAATTTGTTATGGTTGTCAAGTTGTAATATATTGTTGTTGTGAACCTTCGTTGGTTATATATTACTTGCTGGATCTATATTTGCTGGACATGTTGCTTGCTGGATATATAAGCCATGTTGCCG